GCAGTTGATCAGAAATCACAGACATGCATTGTACGCGCTGGTGGCAAGCACTGGTCTCGAGGGGCAAATCCTAGCTAGTTGTCTCGCCGTGCAAATATCTGCTCAGGTCTCCTACAGTCGCTCGGCTTCCTCTAGTATAGCCGGATCACTAAATGAATCTTGGCAAACGACAGCAAAAATATTTTTCGAGCAAAGGCTACCGCCTGAAATTTCCGCTCTCGATTCGACCTTCATCCTTCTCGTCCTCACTACACTTCTAAACAGAGTTGAAGTAAATTTCGTCGGAATCTCCTCGAGAGAGGGCAACGAAGTCTCCTGCCTTTTGGTTTGTTTTTTTAAAAATCCTATATTGCATGGCTCATCCTGTATGCAATGCAGGCTGGAGCTTTGAAAAATTACCTCATATATTATGGCAAATGAAATGCCCACCCTTGGAAAAGACATTTGCCCAACGAATGGATGCCCTGTCCATGCACGAATGCCATTTCGTTTCCCTTATTACTTTTTTGCTCATGTAAGTTACATGGTTTTCGGAAACAATTTTCTGCCGCTCTTAAAATGGCCCCGCTCTATGTCATAGCTGTTCTGCTACTTTGCCTCATCTTCTTACGTCAGGCATTTCCTTCTGTCCTCATTTTTCGACTGAATTTCTCCATTTGTCCACGATTTTAGCAGAAAAAAGTGTAAAAGGTGGAAATCATTTTGAGAATGAAGTACCCTTAACGAGCTTTCTCCCTCGATGATGTTGAGTGCCATGAAAATTGTTTCGCATAGAAGCTTGCCCAGCAGAGCTGCACTTTGAGAGCTCCACCTCCAGGGTGTCTGTCTGGTTTCGAATCGAGCAATTACTCCAGTACCAGTAATTGGCTTCCGCTTACTTCACTCTGAAAAAACCTCGATTTGCATTTTTTTGGCTGGATTTTTCAACAACTCATTTTTCCATCCCTGTTTTTGTGTGCTCTTCAAGAGTAAGAAGTAGGAGAATTATAAATTTGGCTGAAAACTAGTTAAGGAGGCTTGTTAAAGTTTAAGAGCGCATTTGGATTTGAAACCGCTCCAAAGGGGAAGCCAGTGCTCGGGTATGTGGATGCAATAGGCTGAGAGATGTATTTAGTAGAGATATATCTTTTGTCGAAATTTGTTGAGCTGTACCTTTTTCCCGTGATTTCAACCTCACAGGCGAGCCTGGAACCGGGCAAGACCAGGAATTTGACAGTGTTGGCCCCTCTCGTCATGGTCCCGGTCCCTTTCTAGGAGAGGAAAACAGCTTCCGTTTCTTCTGCTCTTTCTTCTGCTTCTCGTAAATTTAAATGAAAGTCGTGAAAAAACTCCATCCAGCTGCTCAGTATATATGCGTCTGGTTCGAAGCTCCTCTCTGAATCATCATGCTCATAGCATTGCATAGTGAGGACGTGCACTGAGTATTCAATGAGCTTCAGTAACTCAATTAAGAGAAGCATTTGAATGCAATGGGACCACATTCCGCCCATTTTCCATCTCAAGCAAGCCTTGGGTGGCTGAAAGAAGAAAAGGCAGACTTTACATCTGAAACGACATCCTATTCAAGTCGTTGGTAATTCACAAATTCTTTCTTTCAAACCCCTCAGGTACTCCGTTTTCCTCTTTTTCGTTTCTTCAAGTGATATGTTTATTTTATAGCCCATAGGGTTTCTGGCTCCTACTAAAGCCTCGGCATCGAATATCATATGATGATATCTTTTCCAAAGTAGTTTTTCGGGGGGTAGGAAATTCGAGACCCCTTCAGCTCTTTGAATTTGATGGGATCGAAATATAAGCCTCGCTGGAGGTTCCACTTGGTGATTTTGCTCAGCAAAGCGGAAAAACGTCTGACAGATGACATCACTATTCAGGATCTCACAAAGAGCCATTGGATGAAGCTCACTCGGAAAATGGATGGCCCTAATTAGTGCTGGTCATTCAACGAAATATTCGACTCGCAACGAGTTCTCTTTTGAAAACTTAATTTATCTCTAAAAATTTAATTTCCTTTTGTTGAAGCAGCTCCAAAAAAATCTTCCATGAACATTTCATCTCCATTTTCTAAAGTTGCTCTTGTGGTCTGCAGGTGATTCAAAGATTTTATGGGCTGAACGGGGTCTGAAGAAGTGGTTTGGATAATATTTGTGGGCACCGATATTCTTAAATGCCTCCCCGCTCATCGTCCAGTGAAGCTCATCTATCGTGTTCTTCAAAGCTCCTAGGCCTGACCCTCCTAGACCTGCCTAAGACCCTTAACCGAAAAATGAGATTTTAATACCATCCGAAGTCTGCCATCGATAACTCAAACGTCCCCCACTCTCGTCTGCGTTAGATGACTGGAAGCTCCAGGAATGCTGTCGATCCTGGTTTGGATTCTGGTCCCACAACAGTAATATAATGCTAATGGAACCGCTCAACTACATTATGCACAAGTCCATAAAGCGGAACATCGGTGTTCTCTGATCCCTTACCGCTAAGATAAAAGATGAATGGCTTCTAAACAGTTCAGATTCTAACCAAGCCAATTTCTTCGCTCAAGTTAATGAGAACAGGAAAACCTTGATGGGCAAGAAATTGTTTCGAACTTGAGTTATAGGCAGAATTTCTGCGAATCATTCGGATGGGTACAGAGACTGGGAAATAGAATCAGAACAGGGAGGAGAGTGTCCTGATCTATAGAGGACGAGGACATCACTACATACCTTTCCCGTTCTCGTGGCAACTTTAGGATGATCCTAACTAATTCAGAGATTAACTTATTGACTATTTGCCCAATTGTTGATGGCGATGACAATTTTGTTGTCACCACCAGATGAGTTTTCATTTCAGAATTACTCAAATAAAAGTGGACGTTTGCATGGTTGTTCTGTACAAAACGAGCTTGGTGAATAACTTATTTTCCAGGAGAAAACTCTTTTTTGGAACCACTAGCCATTCTGCTGTTGTTCTGTAACAAAGAAAGCTTCTAAGAAAGTCAATCTTCCGGAAAACTCGACCCTTTTAGGCTATTACTCGTTCCATTCGTGTTTTTTCCCCAAAAAGCTGAAGAGGAAGCCAATTTTTCGTAAACATTTGGTTTTCTCGGACGAATTCCAGCTTCTTACCTCTCCTGTGCTTCATCTGGCACAAAATTCGGGAAAAAAACGTAATGAAGAGGCAAAGGAAACCAGCCATGCATACTTCCTCCCTCAACTATCCATCATCAGACCAAAACCTTAGTGGTTAGAAGAAACGAAGCAGAAAACACTCGCAAAAAGGGGCGGGATTGAATGGCTTTTCATGATTACATATTACTTCCTAAGCAGTTTTTCACCAGTAAACATTAGGTATTGAAGTTCTTCACCAGAGAGCCCCTTCCTCTTGCTCCATTATGTTCTCAGCCTTATCTCGATTGTTCATCTAATGCTGTCCCAGAACGAAGACCTTTATGTTTGCATTGAAATCGTGAAGAAGCCATTTCTCATATGTCTACGGTAATCGTGCTTCAGAGAACGATTAATGATAATGACTGTGGCTGGGAAAATGTATATGCATTGAGTAAGTCGTTGGTCACGCATCGCAATATCGCATTCCTCTGTGAAATTAAATCCTCGTCAGGCTTATTAGGCGAAAAACTCACCAGAAAGAGCCAGTCAAGCCTCCTCGGCATGACGAGTCCTTCTCGCTTCACCCCAAGCATGATTCTCCTGGGAATATCCTCAATGAGCGCTTTCATCTGTGGGTGCTACATAGGTTCTTTTATCGACCCATATCTAACTTCATGCTTCGGTTGGAGGGACAATTTCACTTCATTCTCATCGATATTTACCTGTTCCAAAGAAGAGGGAGCAGGATGGGATTGTTATGATTGGGGTGCGTCAGGAAGAAGGGGAACGTCCTTCGTCTACGAATTGAATCTGAAATTAGTTTTCGTCCAAGCAGTAGACCAGCCGAGGGGTCTAACCAAGTTGTGGGCAGAGAAAGTGGGGTAATACTGGAGCAGCTATTAGGCCCCATTGCTATCCAGAAGTTAGAACGCTCAGTTATACATCATTCACCTCCACAAGTTTCCAACTGGGACAAGTCTACATCTGAACTCCATGCTTTTCTAAATTAGACCTAATGTGCGTGGCGCATCCTGATCAGCTTATGTTGACTGCTCAATCCTCGTTCGTTGCCAGCCAATCGAAACGTGAGTAGGATCTGCATTCCTACTACTTCTCTCATTACTGGGACTTCGACTTGGACTTGGATTCGAGAGTCTCCCTTGACTAAGTTCCGGCACCCCGTCTTTGGGGTTCCTCATGGTAGCTTACCGAATTTCTGATGTCAGGTGGTGTTGTAGCCGTCTCAGTAAGTGTCTCAATCAGATCTGCCTTCCTGTTGAAGAGTTGCATTCGATTTCTCCAGTGATACGTGAAGTTCTGGATACACTCATGCTNATCCATGTACTCTTGGTATAGTTTACTCGTAATACCTCTCTTCCTCGAATGGATTTCTCCATCTTTTTGAACGGACTTATTGTAATGAGCTCAATCGCTCTTCTGAAGCAAGAAGGAGCTTGCAATATGCCTTATTATTATGTCTGAAGCATTTTATGATAATTCTTTCCAATCTGCTCGCTTTGACGTTCAATAGCACTCCGTCGAATTCATTTTCCTCTTTTCAAAGGATTCAGTTTCGTGAATGTCCTAAAAACGTCGTCTTTTCTTCAGAAGGTGCTCCGAGAGGGCGTTTGTGGCAGCGTCGAATGCTGAGCAGTAGAAGCACCGAGCAGCAGCCAACCAACAGAAAGTGTCGTCATACGAAACCCCGTCGAGGTTCCGTCGTCGAATGGATTAATGGCCTATCGGACAACAATGTGTCCAGGGACAGTGAGTGGGAAAGGCGAGTCATTTTTCCTCGGCTAATTAACCAATCTCTTAGAGTGCTCCCTGCAATCAATCGTGGCATTGAGAAAGCCTTCTGGGATTAGAAGGCAATGGTTTTCTAGAAAACCCAGTGATAGTCCGGATTTTAGGGCATGTTCATCACCACGTCTGACTCGTCACGGAAGTGTTGCTTCCGTCGGTGAAACGTTGCCCGATGAAGCCACCAAACATCGTATTCAGCTTCTGACAGCTCTTAAGAAAGAGGTAATCTTCAGTGACCAATCATCTGACAGGAAATGAACATTCTGTTGATTGGCGTTCAGGTGAAAGTGATTATGGAAGAAGCGGTAACCAAACGACAAATCGACATCAACTCTCCATACGTGACCTCACTATGTGGTCAGTTACTCCCATACACAGAGATGATTTTGAGCCTTTCTTTTCGTAGTTCGGTTGCATTGAAAAGCTATTCTGCTACTGCAATTTGAAGGCTTTCGAGAGCTGTTTTGCTCCGAGACATTCGAGGTTAAGATTGAAAACATTGCGCAAGGGTGTAAACACACAACATACTTGACAACAAAAAACTTTTAAGGCCTGCTAGGCACGCATATCCTCTGAGACACCTCGGAAGCAAGTCTAATCAGGTTTCGTTCAACCGAGCCTTTCAGCATTTCGAAGCCGCTTAAGTGGTACTAGCTGAGGGGTAGCGACACCAACTTTCAAGGCTGCCTCCCACGAGCCGTTGTATAGGGCAGGAACGCTTCCAAATAGTCATATAACACCTAACTGAAACCAAGTGTGTGGCGCATTCCCATATGAG